CACCTTCAGCCAGCTTTGGTGCGGCTTGTGTGCGTTGCAAGCTTGTTTTTCCTGATGCTAATGCTTGGTCATTGCATGCAGTGCGCAAGCATGGCTACTGTGCACAGTGGTCAAGTGCAGCCAAGGGCAATACTTGTAGGGGTTGTTTCAGGAGGTTTGCTAGTAAGGGTCGATTTGCGAGGCATCTGCGCTACAGCTTTCCCTGTTTAATTCACAACTGGGCAAATAGCAGCGGAGTGTCTGAGGACGGGCCTCATTTGCAAGCACCACCCCAGGCATGGGAGGCATGGGGACAAGCACTTCCCCAAGGAATCCGTGAGCCATTGCATCTTGACTTCCTCGTCCGCTTGTTTGATGGTCCGGGAGATGAAGAACCCGTTGAATGGTTGACTGGTTGCGTCAATGAGTTTTTGGGCCCACTCCCTTTGCTCAGACATACCTTCGAGTTCTGGATGCAGCAATACGACCCTCTTTGGATCAATGATGGACTGGCTGCCAAGTTTCGTGACTTACTTGAAGATGAGGCCTACAGTGGCGAGGTGGCGCGTTCCACTGCTCACTGGTCGCAGGTAGTCTGTATCCCGTGCCCTTTGCACGGTCATTCTTGGGCTGCGGGTCGCGAGACAGTCTGCATAGGCTCGGGTGATACTTTCAGGCGTTTCGCTGAGGCTTATGGCACGCTTAAACTGAGCTGGGATGATTTGCAGGACATTGAGCTCTTGGAAAGTTTGGCACTATTGGCCAATGAGATCGTTTGTTTCTTGTTTCTTGATAGGATAGCGGCGGAGCCTTCTGCTCTAAAGTTGGCTTTCCAGGTCTCACTGCAATGTAGACATGCCGGGATCAATTGCTTTTTATGTTGCAAGAGATCACTTGCCTGCGCGAGTTATCTTTCTGAGCCTCCTTTTTCCTGGCTGCAATGGCTACCAGTGCAGGCTGGGGGGCAGTGCTCTGGATCAATGGCCTAAGGGCCTTGAATGATAGATGTCGATTTGAGCAGGCATTGCTATTTAATCCGGACTCTATGCGCAAAGGAAAGAAAGGGAAGCCCCTGCTTTCCGACGCAAGGACAGAGCAAATGAGAGCCTGCACTGCGCTTTGGGCTAAGTCCTCTAGCAAGGCCAGCTTATCTCCAGCGCTCGTGGCCTTGTCTGCCTTGCGGAAGCCACCCGCTGTGTCTGCAAGCTATTTCTACTTGCTGCCAGGGGGACCGGAATGAATGCTGCTTGCTAGTCCTGCGTGTTCTCCGGAAGGTCACCGCGACTTGGGCTTTTCTTTTAAGCAGCATGCTGTATTCTTCCCGCAGCAGCTACACTCCAAGATCTCACATGCAGATGATGACGAGGAAGAGGGAAAGGCAAGTGCGGACAAGCGAAAGAGATAGAAATCACGCTCCACAATCGATACATAAAATGGCATGCCACAGCCCAGGGGCTGGTACTATAGTGCGAAAGAATGTGGGCAAAGAAGCAGCGTGCAGTTATGACGCTTGTGAGGATGATACACAGTGCTTACAGTCTTGGGGAAAGGAACGCTTAAGCACGGTCAATATGTGATGATGGTGGTGATTATGCCATGTGTGATCCCGATAGTACTGATGATGACACTGCTCATAAGAAGTACGATGATGATGATGACGACTAGGAGAAGTCCAAAGACGAAGACCTGTTGACAACTTAAATCACCATGATTGCGGCAGTGAAGCAGCGGCAGCAATAGTGGGTATGATGGCGACGGCCAATGGACGGTATGTGTATGTGATAGATTCGGACATGTGAGGATAGCCTACTGTAAGTCTACGAATCCGATGGCGCTGGTAAGCACGTTGATGTTGATAATGCTCATCCTGGCATGGTGATGGTGACGATGATGATGATGATGATGATGCTGCTGAAACGATGGATGGTAGGACAGCGCAAGTACCCGCTTGAAGGACTGATAAGCTTCGTGACTGGCTTCACGGTTCCCTGCTCCTGCACAACTGAACTAGGCCCAGCCATACCAGCTTACATAATGTGAGGCACTGGCCCTCATGCATGCGAATGGCACGGTCAATATCATCATCCGTCATTTCTGCGGTCATGGGCACATCCAGGTAGTCAGCCTTGGTGGGATGAAGAGGTGCCTCCACTGGTCAAGCCAACTTTCTTTTCCTGAGGCTGCGGCTAGAAAGTCATTCATGACCTGACGCCTCGGTGCCCATGTCAAAGGCCACGTTGCCTGGAAAATGCCTCAACCCGAGTCGAGGACACATGGGCTCCACCTGACATGGAACTGCTGTCGCCTCCCTGCCTTGGTGGAGTCACGAAGCAACTTTCGCTTTGAGCTTTTGGTGCTTTGCCATGCTTTGCCATGCTTTGCCATGCTTTGCCAAGCCGCAAGTTCACCGTATAGCGCTGAAGCTTCCGATCGTACTTGCCCCCTCGGCGATCAGCATGGTGAAGCGGCATTTCATCTCGTTGCTCACTTGCAACAATGCAAGCTCGGGCAAATGGCGGATTGTGTTCTTGAACATCTCACAGTAATCAGTGATCATGGTCCACCTCAATCAGCCCGCAAAGATCATGTCAGTTCTCGGAAGCCATGACCGAGGGAGCCGCATTAGCTGAACTCGTCCATGATCTTCCAGAGGGATGCCCTGACCTGAGTCTTTGATCTCGACGGTCTCGCGAAGACCCGGAAATCTTCATAAGCACGATGTGCTAGCTTGGCGAATGAGGTTGGCAATTCGCAGAGAGTGCCGCCAGGATCACGCAACCAAATCCATAGGGTTGAGGGCCCTGCCCAACTCTTCCAGGCGATCTTGCACCGTCCTGTGCGAGTCCAGCAGCAAAGACATCTGAATTGATCCGGCAAAAATGAGGCGTCTGTGTACACGAGCCTTCGTTTCTCGTTGATCTCTTTCTTGATCTCTGGTAGGAAACCTCAGGAAAGAGCGATGCTGTGAGGCCAATCAGACATCCGGGAGACGCCACGACTGAACCTCTGATGCATCCAGCCATCAAGCCAAGATGCGCCGAATGTGTTTGAAAAGGATCCTTACAATGCTGCTCTGCACGCTAAGGCAAAAAGATGCTGGTTGGCCTCGTGATCTCCAGTTTCTGTAACATGAAGCACCCACACGCTGGCACGTATCGCACCAGCATTACATTAATCATCTGTGAAACTTTGCATGCTTGCAGGGCTCTGTGTCAGCTTGTCGATGAGGGTATTGGTCCCCACTAGACCTGGTCTCAAGGCATGGCGAAGCAAGAATCCTCAAGAAAAGCTGTCCACACCTGGTGGAAGTTTGCTGTAGAGGCGGTGGTTTTCGAACCATTCCCTGGACGCACTGCAAGAGAAAAGGCAACCGACTGTCATTGCTCAAGCATACCGTCAACTTCGGACAGTGGCCATTACCATCTACTTAGGACTTTGCGGAACGAGATGTGAAGAGGGTCAAGTTTGACACACGAAGGCGATGCCCTTGGTGAAAGTGTGCGAAAAAGGGGCCTGGTAGTGTATTGATTCAGTGGCCGTTCCACAAGAAAAAGCGGCCCCCCAGGGGGAATTGGTTTAACGGGTCCTCCCCGGCCCACCAGGTTCTGGAACCGGCCACAGCCGACGACTTGTGACGACGCGCTGCGGCCATCCGCCGCTGCAATCCTGTCCCCCATTTCGGCCCGGCGGCGCAGCACAGCTCGCACTCGAAAGCGCCGCACAATCACGCATAGTTCCTGCAGGAGCTCAGAGTGGAGCGCCGCGGGCTCAATCTCTTCCCGCGAAGACATCCACAGACCAAGAAACGGTTCTGCTGCGATGAGCATTTACAGTAAGGGGCCAGTAACAACCACAGCATGTGCCTCTCTTCCTTCAAGGAGACTTTCACCGGCTTGTTGCTGGTGATGTCCTGAGAGTAGCTACACGCGCAAAACTGCTTCGGAAGCCTATCGTGCAAGCCTGCTGGTTCCTCATCTTGACGCCGACATAGCCCAGGCCTAGAGAAACGTGTCTACTGCGACAAAGCAAGCTGCGTGGCTAAAGAAACGTCCGCAAAGGATGGCACGGAGTGGAATCTCTTCGCCACGCAACCTGAGCTTAATCAGGATGCATCTCTTACCCAGAACATTCCTGCTTCATGGTGGAAGCACAGAGAGAGAAGCCGAAGCTTGCGGTCATATCTGCTCCACAGAAGACAGATCTAATCGCACTAACAACACCCCAAAAATCATCCAACTGAAAGCAAACGATGCTGCGAAGTCACATCTTTACTGCATCGGTCCCCTGGTCCATGATGTCTATTTTGGTGATGACACCAATAGACCTTGGTTCACCATGCCACAGATTCGCTGCAGGTCGCCAAATGTTTCAACATGCATTCCTTCATTGTCCCGGCCAGGTGAGCCGACCTCATGCCCTGAGGATCAACTTGTCGTGCAAGTTGCAGAGCATCCGAGACCGACATGTCCTGGAGCAGCACAGGCATGCACGGGCTGCCAGGGCCTGATATGCCTTTTTGGGGGTCCTGGTTGGCAGGGATCACGCACAAAATGATTGTCCGCGGATCCTGTACAATTTGAAGACAAGGGCAGCTTCTGCAAAAAAAAGAGTTACGCATTCTGCAGCTGACATCTCGATGTGACTGTAATCCAGAATTCCAGCTCACTGCGCAACTCCGGTCCGCCTTGATGTAATGCAATGTCATTTCTCGGGTGACTCTTTCGATGTCATCCACCTGCAACAGCAAACATGAATAACAGCAGTCACCATTGAGGTGACGCATGCCTGGTCACTCCCTCGCAAGGGAACCCTTGTCACACCAGGCCTATGACTGCATGCATCCCGGATTTGCACACACGCCAATGAGAGCTTGCTTGAACTGAGCCGTCCGGCAGGTCGATAAGGGTCAGGTCGGGGGCACCAGTGGCATACACGGTAAGCACGATGGGATCATTCACAATGCCCTTGTTCCTGAACTCACAATGCAACTCAAACGTACAACCGTTATTTTCAACTGCAACAACTCACTGCGAGGCAAGTACGTGCCAGCCACGGCATCCGTCTGTCGTTCAATCTCCTGCAGTCTTGAGACTTCTACCAACGGTGCCTGTTTGTCTGACCAGCTTCATCCTTCCGAACATCATCGAAATTTGTGAACTTTTTGTCGCCTGCAGCCGTTGCGAAGACTGTCTTCATCTAGTTTGGAGGAGGCTCACAACGTGCAACAGCAAAGGCAAGCCTGTCTTTTCGAATACGGCCCACGCCTGACCTTCATCGAATTCCTGCACATTCAAAACCTTACTGTTTCCACAAGTCGAAATAGCCATGCATCGAAATAACTAGCAATAACTTGAATCTGGTTTCCACGACTTTGTCGTCCTGCGTGTTCAGATGAACCAAACGTAGTTCCAAAGGTCGCCTGCCAATCAGTTTGCCAATCAATTCGCAAAAACACGAATTGTGCCAGTAACTTCAAAAGCATAAAAGTCTGGGAACTGTTACATGCAGAACTTTGCTCAATCGTTGTCCGTTACGAAACCTTGCGAACAACTTCCTAACAGCAAAAACGCGTGCATTGCTGGAACACCACCAAGCCTGGTAACCACGCCCCCACCCCGAGGCAGAAAGTCGAGCCTGAAATTGTTGTGGTTTCATGCCGTTTATCGAGGTTGTCCGCAAGCAAACAAGCGCCCGACCCAACAATTGATTCAATCAATGAGCTTTTGCCACTGCTCTGCGTGCCAATCGCCGCAATGCGGGGCAAACTAATGTAGCGCTGCAGCCTCAGCTTGTGTGTGCTTCCTCAAATTGGAATCAGCTTTGTAGCTAGCGTCGTGACAGAAAACCAAGATTACAAATGCTGCGAACACACCAAGTTCCACACCCGACATCTCTCAGCTCGTCAACAACCTCGGGATCTAGGACAACGATTGACTACGTTTGCAATTGCCACACTTGCACATCAATATAATGGGTTCACGCGAACAGTGAATAACATGAAGCCTGGCATGATGCAAGATGGCGTGTTCACCTGCAGTGCACAAACCCAACATCATGAAGCACAATGAGCTCCAGGCAGTAATCAGTTGTCGCAAGTTTTCATATAATGAGGACATTTGGGAACTCAGACGAATCCAGAAATCTAATTAACTTGTGCCAGCTTACTTAAAACAATGAAATTCGTGACTCAAACATGATCACCCGCATCATGCAGACTGCAAATTCATTTATGACATGCAACTCGTTGAAGGAAAGACTGCGGAAACACAGAATTCATGGCCACGTTCTCAGATCATGCTGTCAGCTGTCAAGACATGTCAAGCAACGTGCAAGACTCTGTTTTGGACGTGTTACTATGCAAATGTTTAGTGCACACCCATGGTTTTAATTGGTGGTAGCCCCGGGTTGACGACAAAATCTTGCAAGAACCATGAAAACTGCTGCTGTGTACATAGAGCGTGTTGAAAGCTCCGCGTAGTCAGTTGCGCAGGTCAATTGTGATAGGCATACCTAACCTATATTTTCCCCTGCTTAGTAAGGCTTAGTAACTTCAAAGGGGAGGCTTGAGCCAAATAACAGTCCACCATACACAAACCATTGAAAAACTACCTTAGTTGCACGCGTGTAAGGGTGTATGCATACAGCTTTACACCCCCCAAGGCAATAAGCAACTAGTTCTGTGTGGTTGCACTGCTCCTGTCCAAGACCTACCACAAAAAACAGACAAACAGCACTCTCCTTTTTACTTGGGTTGCTCTGAGTGTAGCTTCAAAGGGCTCGGAGGCAGGAAGGTTTCAAGCTTCTCTGTCCCGTTCAAGATTGGCATTTCCTACGTTTGGCCAAAACACAAAGCTAGCAGCGGACTATCTCTTGTCACGAGGTGCGAGAAATCATACGCACGTGGAGGGTGTACTTACACCCCGTGTGAGACTGCAGTGAAAACAGGAATGACATTGCCATTAAGTTTGAACCATGTGCCAACCAAAAACCTTTGGCATCATCAAAGCACTCAAGTATATCACCTGGTGTTCAGAAATACTATTCAGTATAAAAAAATTCATTCGCGTAATTCACTCACAGATTGCAGACGCAGAACGGCTTACTTTTCCATCGGTGACTTGGGGAAGGTGCATCAAGTCAAACGTGCAATGCAAAGATGGGAGCCAGGCTGGCTCCCATCACACAGGAGGGCTAAACCCACACTTCCAGGACAGGCAGTCCTGCAAGATGCACGGCGCTAACCCCCAACTTAACCGACTATGCTTAGGGTCCAGGTCTAAACCTCATAACCCTAGGGAGGGCGTTCAAGCGGGCAGATCCCAAGGATGGGCCAACGATCTAGCCGGCACCCTGAGCAAGAAGCACACTTCCAAGATGGAAGCCAGAGCCTCGGTGCAGTCTGAAGCATGAAGCCCTCTCCAGTCAAGAATGACCTTGCGTGAATGTTCGTCGGCACAATTGGACGGACTTGGCACCTTGGCGAACCAAGGAAACGAACGTGACAAAGACTCTACTGTCAAGTATAACTTCGTCAAAGCTATACCTACACGGTTCCTAGCCGAACCACTAATAAGTACGTCCCTTGCGCTGGGGACGGCCACATAGGCTGTCCCTCCAAACAACCATTGCAAGGATCGCTGCACATAGTTCTGCTTCGAAGATTATTGAAGAAGTGTGGCCTTCTCCCAACGCGTAAGCTCAAGGGAGAAAAATTTTAATGGCTGCCCACGCACATCCAAAAGCACTCCCCCAACCCACATCTCTCATTTCCTGGCTGCCCTTCATAAGCAGCGTCTGTGAAGAGGTACATCGGATGTGCCGTCACACGAGTCACCAGCCTCGGTGGACCTTTGACAAGAAGGTCAAGAGAAAGGGATATGGCGTCGGCGGCATCGTCAGACACTAGGCCACCTGACACTTCGCAAGATCTCAACGCCTGCACACAAAGTTTGGCTAGTCGTCCGAAGAGCTGACCCCCTACATAAAGCATCCTGCCTCTGAGACGCTCGATGAACTTGGTTGACGCTTTACGATCGACAAGCAGCGATTCCAGAGACTGTTGTTCTTCCACCCGGCTGGGCGTATTGGCAAAAGACACCCGTATTCCGTATTCCCAATGCTCCGAACTCCGCACTGAAGTCTTGGTCTTTGTCTTCTGCAACTTTCCAGCCCAACAGCCTGAAGAAGTTCCCCAGCATTTGGCTGACCAAAGTGGACTCACCTTTGCGGCACACTGTGATGAAATCATCGAAGAAGTGGGTCATCATCAGAGACAGACACTTAATGGCCAGCCACCACAAGCTGTGGGCCATCCTAAGGCAACCGTAAACCGCCCGGCTGGCGCCAAAAGGCAATGCGTACATGCACCTCAATGTCGGACCTTTGCTTCCTGGATCGTAATAGGAAAAGTTCGAAAACTTCAGACTCTTGTCCGACACTGTCGGCAGATAGGGTCCACGCACTTTCCTTCAAACCAGAGTCCTCTGGAAATTTGTCTAGCATGGCCAGGCACAAACTTCCAAGCAGATCAGTGGATTGTGGCTTTGGAGATTCAATCTTCTGAACAGAGGCATTGAGACTTGAAGTCGAGCAGTCATCAATGACCCTTGGCTTCCCTTTCTGGATAATGGCAAACCGGCGATTGATCAAAGCATCGTCTTGCAAAGAAAGCTGGGCCGAATAATTCCGAAACCCAACCTTTGAGCGCTTCGACTTTGACGCCTCTTCAAGCGCACTCTTTCTCAAAGAGGGGGCCTTCTGCGCACATGTCCAAAGACTTCTCTGCTGGGCGAAAGAACAAAAGAAAAACGCCTAAGATCGGAACTTGCTCTTCCAAATCAACCCCATGCTTTATCACAAAGACTACACCTAGGTAGAAATAGCACTAGAGGATGATCAGCTGCCTTAGAATTGGAAAGTTGGTCCCGCAAGTCGGCGGTCGCGAGAAGATTGACTCATCAGATGGCGTCTTATCTGGCATGGCAATCGCATGGGTCACTTTGCCAAGAGTTGCAATCATGGTAAGGCTGGCAGCAATCAGTAAGTAGCAGGCGTAGTGACAATAATGGTAGGTCCCATCAAAAACAATGGTATTTGGGAAGGCGCTTTCAAGGTTGACTGTGAGTGTTTGGCCATAAAACACGCGGGGGGTGGAGGGGGGCGCAGCCCCCCCCGCGGAAGGGTTGCGGGGGGGGCAGAGCCCACCCAATCTTATAACTGTAGAAACCTACAGCGCAGGCAAGGAGTATGGTAAGGCAAATAGAAATCAGCAATAAATTCGGTAGGGAAGACCCTTGTGAAGAATAACAAGATAGGATGAGCCCCCTTCAAGCCTTCCCTTCCCCCGTTCTCAAGCCCCCAAGCGTGGGTTTAGAGGAGGCTAGAAAGAGGGGCCGGGAAGGGAGACCTTAAGGGCTTCTCAAGCCCCCTTGAAGCCCCCTTCAAAGGCTTGGGAGATCCCTTGAAGCCCTCTTCGAGAATTCAAGGTCCCCCTTTCTGAAGCCCCTTCAAGCCCCTTCTCAAGCCCCCCTTGAAGCCTCCCTTGAGAAGCCCCCCTTCTCAAGCCCCCCGTCAAGCCCCTTCTCAAGCCTTCAATGTTCGTCCGCCCCCCCCTCCCCCGCAAATTCAATTTTGAGCCCCCCTTCGTAAAATTCAGACGGATCATGCCCCAGAGTGGCCAAGCTGGCAGAAGTGAGCTTGGGCAAGTTTGTTGCCTGGCAGCCCATGTCAGGTACTCAAGCAGACTGTGAGCTCGTTTTTCAATTGGTCAATGGAGACTTTATGTGCCAACTTATTCACAGAAGAGATATTCTGGTCTTATGTTCAAAACCTTAAGAGGACACTTGCTCCTTGCTCCGGCTTCACGGAGTTCTCACTGTGGAGGACCTGTTGGTCTTGCGTGGAATGTCTGAAACTCTAGCGCAGCGTCTTGCAACTGACAAATGTGCACGTCAAAGGCTGGAAAATGTACAGTCTCCGCTCACGCCCTTCGAGAGCACCCTCTCGATCTGCCACGCGGCCTCCCAGCACAAACTCACGGCTTGTTCATGGCAGGGTAAGCCAACAGTGTGATTTTCGGACGGTTTGGAAGCGTGTTTAGAGTTTGATTTAAGGTTTACTAAACCCTAAACCCTGAACACGGAGTAGTGAGTGCATCGTCAATCTTGGAAAAAAGAAAACATTGCCAACAACATGCTGAAGATGAACTTGGTCAAGCGACCTTACGCACACCGCTTGCCAAAAATTTGCAATTCCTGCCTAAAGTTTCATGAGCAACCCTCTCCAGTTGAACAAGCAGGTGAACGACAACACTGGCAAACCCAAATCATAGAAACGTCGCACATGTTATAAATTCAGAAAAAACCATTCGTTTCAGCGGTTTTAAAGCAGGAAATTACAAACGCTGGTATCAAGCTACCAGAACTGCCCGGCCTTGCGCCAGCGCAAAAGCACCTTTCTTTTTGGAAATTAAGGCCTGACGAAAGCTTGTAGAGCCAAGCGGGCCTATGGCACAAACTTAAAGCGCTGTCAACCCGTTGACTGCTAGTCTTCATTTGCAATGCGTGCTAGCGCCTTGAAACATTGATTGACAATGCGAGTCAAGGTAAGCAATGTGCCACTTTTAATCTTTAGAGCTTCATGCGGAATTTAAAGTCGATGATTGCAAATTCTGCATGGTTGCTTGTAGACCACAGGACAAAGTCAACATCTAAAGCGATGATTGTGCTTTTAAATAACTACGCAATTCGAATGATGTGGAATGCCAAGAACTACATTTTGTACTATCCCTTGTCGTGTTCCTCTCACCTGCAATGCGTCAGTGGAAGACATAGAGGCAAGACAAGTGGTCGCAAAGGCCAGAGGTTGCGACAGGACCAAAGTGGGTTCAGTAAGACACCTGGAACCTTGCAATCCGCATTTAAACTTTTTCGAATGAGATAGGCACTAGACGCAGGTCGGACAGTCACTGGAGGTCAACAGTGTATGAAGCAGACAGAGCCATAATCTAAGCTCTGCCGAGCCGCCGATTCCAGCAAAGAGATGGAGGTGGATCCAAAGCATCCTTCAAGGGAAGGGGCTTCAAGAGCTGGAAGGGCTTCAAGCTTGAAGGCGGGGA